CTATACCCCCCAAAACGCCCCCCCCCCCCCCCCCCAAAAAAAAAAAAAAAATCTTTACAAACCAAATGCATTACATTGAAAAAAAATTTTGAATCTCTTTAAAGTGTCGTATAAATATTAAATTCATATGTATCATTCAAAAACTTCCAAATGGAAAATCTTAAGGGTATAAAATTAACCAAAATGAAATCTCCACTTGAACAGATCGACAGCAATACATAAGCTATTATACTTATCCCCTACGCGTTGCAATTTTTTCTATATTTATCAAAAGAAGAACCATCCATAAAAACTAAACCAATTTTAATATCCCAAATGAGAATAACAGGTAAAAAGCGAACCAAGAGCATAAAAGCAAGACAAAACACCAACAAAACCCATCGCTTCACCAATATCCAAAAACACAAAAGACCCAGATGCCTTAAGCCAGAAACACAAAAAGAAGACTGCACAATTCAACAACTACCCCATAAATAAAACCAAAAAAAAAATAAAACAGCCCAGATACAAATAAACCCCAGATTACCTCAAAGACTGCATTTTTACCTGCTCTTTGGTAGCAGAATGAGCATTCAACTGGAGAGCAAGAGCAGCATTGGATGCAATGGAATGAGCAAGAAGGTGAGGTAGACGTTGAGAGATATCAGGTGGAGGCAATCTAAGCCGTAGATCTTGGATCGTACGGCTCAAAGATGAAGCCTTTGAATCTAATTCTTGAACATACTTTTGCTGGTCATCAGTGAACACAATTGGAATTCTGTCTTCTTCTAATTCATGGTTGTTTCCATGGGCTCCAACGACATCTGCTGCCCATGCCAGTAATCCCGCCATGCCTGTATTCTTTTAGACAAAATCAGTTAAAAACTGTAAAATTGTAACTGTCTGAATGTCTCTGCAGAAAAACATTGGAAGTTGAAGAAGAAGAATGGGCTTGGTCTTGTTATTGGGCTGATTTTAAGAAGATGAATCCAAATGGGCTGGTCGAATTGGATTATCATTGTTTGGGCTTTAGAAGAAAGTTGGGTTAGACTTTTGGGTCCATGGAGATAAGCAGACTAATTATTTTGTCAAGTAAAATGAACTAAACAATTATTTAGCCAAAAGAATGAATTAAGAGATTTTGATGTTAGTCCATTTATTTATTTTTTTATTTTTTAAATTAATTAAAAATTATTTAGACAAAAAAAAATGAATTAAGAAATTGTGATGTTAGGCCCCTTTTTTATTTTAGAATTTATATTTTTTATCAGAATATTTAGAAAATAATCTTAGGATTTATTGCACCAATTATTTTTATTGGTATTTTCATATAATCTTTTCTTTCGTAAATTATACAAGTCTATGTAACAGATTTTTTTTTTTTGTCTATTAAAGTAACTGATCTCATGGATGTGACGCATTGTAATCCTTGGTATTTGCAAGCTTCTGAGTGATGATTGATGAAAGTTTTCTCCTTTGTATGAACTTTGACAGCCAAAAGTTCTTCTAATCTCCAATATAGTTTTTTTTTTTTTTTTTAATTTATGTGTGGTGTCCGGGTCAGCTTGACCGCATTACGACTAATCCCCACGATCCATTGAATACCCTACAAACCCAATAAGCATATAAGGCACCGTGAGGATGACAGGCATGCACGCCAGGACTCGAATCTAGGTGCAGTGGAAGGAGGCTAAGCCAAGCACTGGAATGTCTCCAATATAGTTTTTAAATAACTAGTTGTTGCCATTTTATTTAGCTTTGCTATTTTAGCTGAAATATTATATAAGAAGCTGAAACATTTAGGGGAAAAAGACGTAAATCAAGATTTTTTTTTTTTCTTGCATTTTAATTTTATCTTTTTAAATTGAATTTATTTAAAATCAGATTTAATGGTTTAATTCAGCTGACTTCATATTAGGCTATTAGCTAGTATAACTGTATTTGAAAACTTAAGCAATGAAGAAACCACAACCAAGATTACTGGGGAAAAAATAGGTCAATACTCATTTAAAGATTAATTTTTTGTGCTTCTAAGAGCAAAATACTATTTATATTATAGCAAAAGGAAGTGCATGTACCATTTTGCCCCCAATCAGATATACACCAAGTATATCACATGCAAAAAATATCTCTACCTCTAATTAGTTTTTTAGCAAGGTAAAAATTATTTTTACATGGATCCAATTAATTCATAGTAATATATATCTTGATGAATAGTGAAAGACAGATATTTTTTAGTTTTTTTTTGTAATTTGGTTTATAATGAAGATAATGTTGTTTTATAAATATAGTATAATTATAGTTGACAGTTCTTTATTTTTATTTTTTTAATTCTTTGTAAGGCATGATCTATCCTTTTAGGTTAGTGAGATTCTTTGGTAATGAAACGAAATGCAAAGTTTGCTGACCCTTTTTTCAGAAACCAAGTTACATTTTCAAAATCCAAATTGAAATTGACATTTTAAAAAATCCCATTGTTGTGTTGTTTGTTCTTTATATTAATCTCTTAAAAGCTTGTCAAAATTCTATTCATATGAAGTGATTATGTCCTTCAAGTGCAGGTCGGGGAAAGGGTGGGAACCTTGCTTAGGAACTAGGTAATGGCGGAATTGTTGGAAATTAATAGTTTCAGTTGTCTTGAGCACATCTTTCTCTCAAGTTTTGCAATCAAATTTGTTATTTTATTTTAGATTATTATATATAGCCTAAGGGTGTATTTGGCGCAACTATTCAATTATTGTTTTGTAAATTTTTGAAAAAATAATTCAAGTTTTTTTTTGTGTGTATTTTAGGATTTTTTTAATATATATACTAGGATTAAAAATAAATTTTAAAAATAAAAAATATTTTAATATAATTTCAACCAAAAAATATTTTAAAAAATAATCTTTATCACTCTCATAAACACTATCTAGATTCAGTCCCAGCAATAATAATAATTTTCTACGTATCAGGATGCCTTAATTATTCGTCTTTACAATTTTATTTTATTTTTTATTTATGTGGGGTGTCCGGGCCAGCTTACGCGCACTACGACTAATCCCCACGGCCCACTGAACATCCTGCAAGTCCAGTAAACAGGTAAGGCACCGCGGGGGTGACAGGCATGCATGGTGAAGTTCGAACCCAGGTGTAGAGGAAGGGGACAAGCTCCTTCCACCGTTAGGCCAGAACCTCACTTGCAATTTTTGTTTGGACACAGAGTGGTGATTATAATCCTTCAAGGTGGTGTGTCTAAAAGAATATTGGTAAAAGTATGCAAGAAAATGATAATTAGAATACTGAATACTGACCGATGAAAGCTGTGGGTGAGGTCGCAAGAACATGCATGGGAATAAAGGTTGATATATATATCTCATTTCAATTCAAGAAATAAAATAAATTGGAATAAATTTTATTCTTCTTAGAATTTTGATCTGTTCTGAAAATTTCCTTCAAATTCCAGCTGAAATGTTTCAATTTCTTCTTAGAATTAATTTACTACTATCTTAAAATAAGTATTAATTTTCCAGGAGATGCAAAATCCAAACCGCCCCACCTTCTGTTCTATCTGTTCAAACAAATAAAATTAAAAAAATGCAGAGGCATAAAAGCAATCATACCATTGAGTGTGGCTTTTATAAAATAATTATTCAAATAATTTGAAACAGTGAAAGAAAGTATATATTATACGTGAAGTATAAGAATTATGTATATAAATTCTTATCAAACCAACTGGTTGTATGTTCATAGAGTTTCAACTTCTTCTGTATATCTTTGCTTAAAACTACAAGCAAGAAAATAAAATGGAAGGCAAGAGACCAAGCTTTCATCGTTAGCTCAACCAACGTGCAGAGGATCCCACCATAAACAACACCAGAAGAAAAACTAGCAGCTACAACTCGGCAGCTAGCTACTGCTGAGTTCTGCGGTGAGAAACGGAGGTTTTGCAGGAATTAGAAGATCAAGAAAAATTCTAAATAAACCTTCCTGTGCATGGTAATATGTGATTACTGATATCATATGGCGTTGAGGGCTGGCTTGTTTTTGTTTTTTATTTTTAAAAAAAGACACCATTATTCTTTCCGGCCATTATCTCTGTTCTGAATGTTACCTTCAGCCTGTATTTTTTTAATCTTTCAGAGCCAACTGTCATCTTGCACTGGTGGATCAATTATTGCTAATCACATTACAGTAACAATTTGCTAATAATTTAAGTAAATCTGTCTTCTGTGCTGCTCAAATTGGGATTAATTTCTTTTTTTTTTTATATTAACGTGGGTGTCCGGGCCAGCTTGCGCGCATCACGACTAATTCCACGAGTCTGAAGTTAACGATCATATAAGCCTCCAAGACCATCATACGAGCAATCAAGAAATTAAGATTAATTTCTTACTAAATTACTTGGTGGTAACAAGTTCAGAATTTGATGCATAAAAGAAATTCAACAGGCAAAATCTCCAAAATGTTGCGGTCAAATTTCGTTGATAAAAATTATGGAAGTAACGAGAGAGATCGTGCAAGTTAAACATGCTTTAAGGGACGTTTATATATCCAATCTAACTATATATTTAATTAAGGATATTCCACTCTTGGTTTAAAAAACCTTAATTATTTATTCTTTTAATAATAAATTTTCTTATGATAAATTAGCTTGGATGTGAATAATCAATCTAAATCTAAAACCTGATAGGAAAATAACCTGACAGGAAAAACTTTAATTTTTATTTTTTAAAAGTTATTTTTAATATTAATATGCTAAAATATAAAAATATTAATTTTTATTAAAAACATTTTTAAAACATTAAAAAAATAAAAATCTAGCTGTAGTTGAATTACCAAAAGCAAAAATTCCTCTCTGTCTCTCTCTCTCTTACACACACACTATATTCTATCGATCCATCCTACATTCCTTCCCGCTACATGTGAAGAAAGACAAAAGGTTGGCTTTCTGTAGTTGCCCCCACGTTCTTTGCATATTTTGTGGGCACACACACCTCCATTTGCAAGAAAAAGAGAGATACTTTCTTGAAAATACGCCATTAGACTGCAAAGTTTGCGACTTGTAAGAAACAAAAGTGCTACAGTTGCAACTTGTAAGGAACAAAAGTGCCAAAAAATCTTCATTTTGAAAGACATGCAAGAGCTTTTCTCTTCTGTGTCTTCTTTGCTGTCTTTTTGGTGATCTGGGAATGCTGCATTTGCGCATTAAAGTTGAAAAAAAGAGAGATAGTTTTGGAGTCAACTGGTTTAGTTGATCTCATTTTCGTTCAAGTTTTGAGGATTTTTTTATCTGGGTTTTGCTCGTTGTGGAGCTTTGAGAACTGGGGTTCTTTGAGCTGTGTCTGGGATTTAGAGGATCTGGGTCTTCCCAGTGAACAAGATAAAGCGAATTACTTTTGCGTGAATTTTTGAAGTCGGTTTTGTACATTCTTATCATATGTTGAAAAATGTTGGCATTTGGTAGTGGAAAAGTTGACAAAGCTCGAGTCTTTTGTATAGTTGGAGTATGGTATCTGACAGATGAAGTAGTGTTGATGTTTGTGTACTAAGCAATTTAAGATTTAGGTTTTAGTTACCGATTTTCCTAAAATTAGAAATGGCTTCGTAAGAAATTTAGACATCTTGTTCCTGTTAGATACAAACATGGCTTCCTTGACACCTTCACCAGATTCTCCCCCCTCTTTAATACCAATCTCTATTTCACCACCACCATTCCCAGATTCCACAACCAATTCACCACCTCCTTCGACATCTCAGCCTGATCAGACCACTGACCCACCAGTGCCTTCAACACCATCTAACCCTGCAACCCCACCTCCTCAATCCCCACCACCAACCCCACCTGCTGCTTCCCCACCAGCTCAACCACTATCACCACCACCATCACCAATAATTCCCTCAACACCTCCACCATCTGCCCCACCACCATCACCCCCGGCATCCCTAC